AATGCCCAGGCTGACCGTGGCTCACGGGGAACCTTCCTGCCCGACGTGACACCTGACCTTTGTTTGACCTTTGCTTCTCCTGCAGCTATTCTGGAAGCATGACAAGCTTTTCACAGGATGATACGACCCTGAGAGGTTTCTGCTCAAGTATTTACTCTCTTGAAACAATGAACTCAACCGTTCCCAACCGCATTTGTGTGCTCTACACGCATCCAGCGCCCGACAAGAGTCAGGGTTCTGGGGCAGAATTCAGTGGGATCCGTGTCCTGGGAGCCTCACAGGAAGGAGCAGATGCCATCAGAACTGCCGGTGACACACTGATCGGGTTCTCCATGGTGCCCACGTGTCCAGCGTGGTTCCCATGGGGAGTTCTCGGCCGGGAAGGCAACCAGGGCCCTCTTCCTACCCATGCGCCATGGACAGGGAAAGACCTAAGGAAAACCACCCCTTCTAACAGAAATCAATCCACGCAGGTGTCTTAACTCAACGGGACACCATCCTCGTAGCCCGTTACCCCGGAACTTGGGCTCCTATGACATTCAGAATTCGAAAGGGAGGTTTGAGCTGGAATTTGTCTCCATGGCTGATTGAATGCAGGGGCAGGCGGGCGTTTCCAAAATCATGTGGTAGACGTCAAACGTGGCCGGGGTGAGGGTACGTCCAGGCAGGAAGGGGTGTTCTGGGGAGTCGTTTGGGAAAGGGGCTGGTGGTTGGCTTCCCAGGAGGTGTCTAGACAGGAAGGGTCTCTCTAACCCCCTTCATGGAAAGCAAGACTCCAGACCCCCTGCCCCTGAGCTTTCACAAAGCCTCCAGGTTGGGGCGATCACACTTGGGGTTCACTGGGAGGTTGGCTGTCAGGGGTCTGGAAGGAAGCTGCTTATCTGCCGGTCATGTCTCCCATCCCTTCCTTTCTCCACGCTTACCCCCAGACCAACAACGCAAGCACCACCCCAAATATCCACCTTTCCCATACACTGACCAGCCGTGGGCCCAGGCCAGGGGGCAGCAGGCTGTGTACACAGCAGGAGGCAGTGGCCCGTCCACACAGAGCACCCAGAGCCTGGACCGGGGCCAAGGCCACGTTTGGACACACTGTCTCCACCCCTCCCCGTGCCTGCACATGCTGGGGCCCAGATGCGTGGGTGTGACTGGCCGAGCCTGGCCCGGACACTCCCCGAACACCCCTCCAGCTCAGGCAACTCTGGCAAAGAACCTGGCCGCCACTGTGACCGGCCCTTGGACCTCAATCAAGACAGCTGGGCACACACCACAAACTGCCCCCACCTCCCCGATCCTGCGAACCCCCAGGGAAATGCCTGGGGAGGGGACAGCACAGGGGAAGGGACAGAGCTCCTTCGAGGCAGTACTTACAGGAGCTCCTTTCTCCCCAGCCGGCCCAGGAGGTCCCTGGGGCCCAGGTCTCCCTGGAATTCCGATGGGCCCAGCAGCACCGGCCGGACCTCTCTCCCCTGGAGATCCCTGGGGCGAGGCAAGAAAGTGGTTTATTTCAAAGGCTCTCCAAATGCATGGATACAACTTCCAAAAGCACCGCCTGATCATACCACTCACCCTTTCACTCTAGAGCCCACAATAGCTCCCCAGGGCCCCTCGCAAACACAAACTAACTGGTCTAGCATTTGGGGCTGTGTTTCTGACACCCTCTTTGCTCCCCAACCCATAATTCCAAGTCCCTCTCCAGTGTCTGAGAGCACATCCTCCCTCCGTAAGTCCTGGCTTTGAATGACCTCCTCTGGGACGCTGGCAGCCACTCTGCCCTTTGGGGTCTGCCTGCCACAGAGCGTTCACCTGCTGCCCTGCTCCTCCACGCTGTACATTTTACAGGCGAGGCTCTGGCCCAGGAGTGGGGCTGACAGGCAGACACCTGGACTAATTCTAGGGGTTCAGCATCGCGAGACCGCTGTTGCCTGGGGTGTCGTCCTGTTCCTGGCCCTTATCACAAGGAAATGCAATATTTGACTTCCCCGTCACTGTCTCTCTCAAATGGCCCATAACTCAGGGGAAGGGAGGGGGGTCATTTCATGGTCCACCCTCAAACCCAGCCAGGGGCCAGGCGAAGCTCCTGAAGCCCCACTCTGTAGGTGAGTGAGGGGGCTGTCAGATGGGCTCATTTGAAGGGCAGGGGGAGGTAACACAGATATCGCATTTCCATAAAGAGGCAGAGGCAAGAACAGGGGGTCCGTGGGCGTGTCTCTGGAGGGTGGGCACAGGCTCTCGCGGCCCGTGATTCCCCCAGACCACAGCCCAGGGTCTGGAAACTCTGGATCTCCAAGCCTCTTGTAGCTAGACTCAAAGTTCGCGGGGACCGCCTAGGTTAACAGACAGCACAGCTCTGGGGGACAGGCCTCCCACCTGTGCTGGGTCACCTCTGCCTTGGGCAGCCCCAGGCGTGCGGACAGCCCCGCTCTCGAGGCCGTGGAGCTATGTGTCCGTGCCCGTCCCGGCTGCTCCGGGACCAGACCCACGCGAAGCCTCCTCCACAGGCTGGGGGTGGCCCATACAGCCCTCCTCCAAACCGCCCGGCTCTCCAGCTGTCCTCATACAACACGCCCCCGCCCCTGGCCCTTCGTCACCGGCTGCCAGCTCGGGCACACTGTCCACGTCCCTCCCAAGCCCAGCTCCGCCACCACAGCTTTTCCAGGACCCAAGCGGGGCCAGGGCAGGTGTGCGTGCTCCCCGGGCCTCGGGACGCCGGTCTTGCCTGTGGAGCAGAGGGTGGGAAAGAGGCTCTGTGCTGAGCCAGCACACTCACCGCGGGGCCTGGCGGGCCTGGGGGGCCTTCACTGCCTTTCAGTCCAAGCGCCCCCTGCAAAGCAACGAGATGTGGGCAGGGCACCGAGGGGAGACACCCCCCCGGGCTGGGCAGCCTCCAGCTCCATCCCCCCGGCTGGCCCCTCACTCACCACTGGACCAGGAAGCCCTCGGTCCCCGGGGAAGCCACGTAGCCCTGGGGGTCCATCTTTTCCAGGAAGGCCGGCAGGGCCTGGGTCACCCTGAAATCAGAGCCATAGGTGAGTTTACGAGCGATGCCCAAGACCAGGGTGGACGGGGAGCTGGGTGGGGCCTGGTCTTCCAGATCCGCTCGGGACCTGGGTTGGAGGTGGGGCTTCCCCAGGCACTTGGCTTTAAAAGGAACCTCTGAGTTTTGACTTGAATCATTGGTTGGCAGGTCTACGCGCTGGAGTGCATCCCAAGCTCACAGCCGGGGGCCTGTGCGGTGGGCTGGCTCTGCGTGTGGCTTGGGGAAGGATTCCGACCGGGACTCCAGTCATCTCCACGGAGACCCGGGCCCCCACCATGTCCTTCGGGGCCACGACGGCTGAGCCGGGGCTGAAGGCCCCACGCCTGCCCTTCTCATGTATCGGGGGATCCTCGAAAACTGGGCTCAGGGGAAGGAGTCCGTGGCCGAAGCATGGGAAGCGTTGCCTTGAAGAGGACTTGCCGCTCAAGACACTTGTCTCAAGCCTGAAACCACATATTCTGAAAAGATTCTCCACCTGAGCATGTACCTTCCCTGAAGTTCACTAAAGCTTTGACATCTTCCAGAATTTTCTCTGGGGTCCAACGTGGCAGCATATCGGTCTTCAAACCAGCATGCCCTTGGCTTCCTTTCCAAACTCAGAGAGCTCTCTTTGTGGCCAGACACCTGGCTCTGTATTATACACACACATATGCGTGTCGTTTTTCAAGCACATACATATGTACTCAAGCATATATGCACGCAGGCATACATACGTGTGTGTAATTTTTTCACTATTTGATTACTTCTCAAGTTTAATTTCTTGTATGTGTTCACACAAGGGGCTGGAGAGCTTATCTTTCCTGTGTCCCTCACTGAAAAGCTGAAAAGGGGAAGGCTGTTCATTTTTATGCTAAAACACAGAAAGTTATAACCACCAGCTTGGGGTACCCAGGGTGGGGATAGATATTTTTAATATTTATTCTTTCACCTCTTAACAGTGGGCAGTTTTTTAAAGGGTCGCTTTCTGCTAAATCCCATTTAGACACATGAATTGTCAGAGTTGTATGTATCCATTTCTGGGAATGGGCGTGGGCAGCCCAGGGAAAAGGCGGTCCCCAGCCCCCGTCACGTCCATCCGGGTGGCAGGTGTGCTCAGCTCCCCTTCAAAGCGAGCAAAAGCTGAACTAAGTTCCTGGTTTGGGGGATGGATTGGCATGAAGAGCATCTGCTTGAGAATTACCCACTCTTCAGAAAAAAGCAGACCAAAGGCCGAAATGGGAAAGTCTACCTGGCACGGAGGTCCCAGACACTCACCTTCGTCCCTTCTTTTCCGGACAGGCCCGGGAGCCCTTGTTCACCAGGGGGGCCCGGGGGTCCAGGGTGGCCACGCTCACCCATGGGACCAGTTTCTCCAGTGGGACCCTGTTGGGAAAAGTGTGTCAGCCATAAACCGTGTTCGAGGGACAGGCAAGGGAGTAAACTTCTCTTCCTAAATCTAAGGACAGCCTGGCCACAGAGGCAAAGGACCATTGCAAGCCCACTAGACCTCCACATTCCTTTGAAAGTCATCTCCCTCCGGTAAAGATCCAGAAAGGTCAAAGCGAACCAGGTGGGTGATTTTCAATAGCCACTGCCTGGCCCTGTGGTCCTGTGCCTCCTCCCCAGTGAAGTGGGGCAGGGCCTGCGTTTCCCAGGGTGTCACGGGGAAACCAGCAGAGAGAGGGAGCGGGGAGTGCACCCGCATTTCCTGGGTCAGTATCTTATTCACTGCCACGTTAGGTGGGAACTTTCTGAGAAGCAAGGTGACTGCACCCTGTTTTGTGGCTCTGAGCCTGCAAGCCCGTCCTCACATTGATCCGCGGGCGATCAGAACAGCAGCCCTGGGTACTGGATCCAGGGCAGGGAATCAGGCTGCGTGGACACCAAGGGGTGGGCTGCCCAGGGGGCGGAAGCCAGACTCCTGAGCCAGCCTGGTCTGCCCACGGGCCTGGCAGCCCCCACGGTTCTGCCTGCTCCGTTTATGTCCATGTCAACAGATCACTGCCCTGCTCTCTACACCTGCCTGGTCCCCTGCACGGAGCACATCTCTAAACAAGAACTACAGGCCTTGTGATGCCCTCTTGGCTGCACCGAGACCTTGAGAATGGTGGGGAACTTCCGTCCCAAGCGTGACTCTCTTTTCTGTGTGGGTAGGGACCCAGGACGACCAGTGACACCAGGGGATGCTGTATCTCACCTGAGGGCCGACCACACCCGGGGGGCCTGGAGGGCCGGTCTTGCCTTGGAAACCCTGCGAAGAGAGAGTTGGCACACTGAGATGTCCAAAGCGGCCCACTAGAAGGCTCGCCCCTGCCAACCCTCACCCCACCCCCAAACAGTGGATGTCCCAGCCTTCATTTAAAAGGGCCATTTCTCTTGTTTCATTTTGCATGAATTTCAGGAAGGTCGTGAAGCCAGACAGATTAGTTTCACCAGCTGCTTCCCATCGCCCTGCTTTGTGCTGAGAAATATGTTTTAAAACCGTTCATCCTTCTAATGTCACTAAGTGTTTGTTTTCTGAGCAGACTTGGTGTCCCCTCTCAGGAGGCACCTCTGGGCTGTATCTCGTCAGTGACTTTGTGGAGACTGTCCTGCTTCTGTCACCAAGGCTCCCGGGGCAGGGCAGGTGGTTTCACTACCGTGTCCCTCTGCACTGGCTGAAACTGGGACGCGGTGGGGACTTGCAGCTTTCACAGTGCAGCAGCTGGGAGATATTCTTAGCTCGGTTGCGCAGGAACCTCTTGCTTCTGCTCTGCACAGCGGCACGAGACACCCGTGTGGCTGCACTGCACACATTCTCTTCCAGAGGAGAGGGCTGACAGCAAAGCAACGCGACTTTAATTTCCGGCACGTCTACAGAGCATGGCATGTGCTGACAAGATGCCAGCTGCAGGTGTCATGCGATGCTGGGGAAGACGGCAGATGCTACGCCCGGGAGGATTTTAGTGGAAACTCTTTAGAGTCTGGAGAGGGAGGTGCCTCGCTGAAAGCCACAGCGAGAGCTACAGGGTGAGCTGCCCGCGGGGCTGACGAGCGAGCGCCTCTAACTCACTGCACGACGGCCAGCGTGCAGGCGATGGAGGCTTCACACTCAGCCGCTGGACCACACAAATCCACAGCGGATTCGGCCCCTCGGCATATTCCAGGAGGGCTCCCTTCTTTAGGCCCAGCTGTGTCGCATGCAATGGACTAATACGGCCACGGTCAATGCAGCGCTCCCCGTAGGCAGCCTTTACAGGGTCAGAAACAAGGAATGGGCACCCCCCCACCCTCGGCGGGCCGGGCAGCAGTGCCCAAGTGGAGGCAGGAGCCTGGGTGTAAGGCAAGAAAGGCCCCCCGCATGGTCCACTGTGGGGACCGTCCACGGCTTCTGAGGCCAGGATCTGTCTCTAGCCCCTCCTGAGAAACGGGCTTTGCGGTTGCAAAGGAGATGCCATGACCTCTCGTGTTTCCAGCCTCTACAGAAAGCACAAGCCAACACCCCAGGGAAGACCTTTCTGGACGCGTCTGGACTGGCCCGTGGAGGACATGCCACCCCAGGTGGGTCTGGATGGGGGTGCCCCTGAGTCTACGGGGGCAGCTGGGCGTGGCAGGTGGAGCCGGAAAGCACCTGCCCTACTTTCCCAGCAAAAATAAGCATCTTCATGACTTTGGCAGCCTCTTCCCAGAACAAGGCAGAGGGGGAAAAGCACACACTATGCGAAACCTTCCATCTTGTCTCCTCAGAAAAGCATTAGAGAAAAAGATGCAAAGCTAGGAATGTTTCCATTTTTCCCTATAAACAAAAGAGCAAAGTAATCTCCATTTATCAGCATCGGAGCGCTGTGCAGAGCGCCGGGATGGTACAATTAGACGGCGTTTCATCAGAACGAGCCAAAGAGGGACAAAGGGATTTTTTTAAGCAGAGTCACCAAGAACATATTAAATGTGCCACGCAAAATGCCCTTTCACGAGGGGACTGCTCTTCCTGGGAGAGTCCGCCAGAGACCTCTGGCCACAAGGACACCGGGTGCAGAGACAAGGGGGCCTCTCAGCCACTCTCCACCAATCTGGTGACAAGGACGTCACCAGGCGCTGAGTCCCCAACTGTCCAAAGCCTTGGAGCCCCAAGGTCACAGGTTTGCCCATGCCCTTCCTGGGTACAGGCCTGGAGGGGACACAGCGTGAAGCTGGGACGAATCCCCCGTGGCTCCCGGGACCAGAACGTCATCACATTTCCGATAAATGCTTTTCCTAGAACTAAGAAAGGCGGGTGTCCTTTAAGTCCAGCTGACAAAGGCTGGAACGGGCATTGCTACAAGTCAGGGCAAGGTCAAGGAGAGCCTGTGACAGCAGAGACGCTGGCCCTGAGCACGGCCAAAGGCCCAAACTACACCCTGACCAGTCACCTGTCCTCCTTCCTATAAAAGGGGACTCGGAAGGAGCCCTCCAGGCCCCCTGCTGTCAACCCCGAGGCCGGAAGGGCCTGGACAGACAGGGCTGGGGGCGGCATAAAATAACCAAACGACAAACGGAGAATCTTCCCAACTACTTTTCCAGATCAGATGCGCATAGAACAAACCGGCCACACTCAGACTGCTGCGGGAGGAAGGAAAGACGGCTGCACTAGGTTTTTGTTTGTGTCATGATGGTTTCACGTGTGACCTTGGACCAAACTGGCCAGGATGACTTTGCAGCCAGCGCCTGCCTTTGCACACAGTGTCACAGGGCTGCTGCCTGCATCGGGCTCTCCCTGAGGCCACAGAAGATGGCCCGGCCCTCAGGGGCTTTCCCGAGGCTGACCGCCTCCCATAAGCTGATGGGCAGCGAAGGCCAGGTCCCCCAGCCCTGCCCATACTCACCGTCTCTCCTCTCTGTCCAGGGTGTCCCGGGAGCCCATCCTTGCCCGGGGGCCCCTGAAGAAAGCAAAGGAAGGAAGTTGCATTTTGTTCTGAGACGCACACACCTTCGGGGTTTTGTGCTACGGCAGGCAACAAAAGCTGCCATTTCATTTCCAAGGCAACGACAGCAAAGTTACAGTGACAAGTACCACGTGGGACCCAGGGTCTGGTCACCGTCCCCTGGAACACGCACAACCACCCTGAGGGTCACCGTCATCTCCCATAGGGAGAAACCAAGGCAGAGAGAGGTCAGCCAGTGGGAGGTGAAGTAGGATCAAGTGTGTCTGGTTCAGAGGCCAAACTCCTCCCTAACCCCTGCCCCCAAGCAAGCGCCGTTAGGCACTAACTCCAACCACGAGGGGTTTTTCTTTCTCAGAGGAAACATACTGTGTCTGTTGTGAGTTGAATTGTCTCCCCCAAAATAGGCTGAGGTCCTAACCCCTGGAAGCTGTGACCGTGGCCTCATTTGGAAACAGGGTCTTTGCAGATGGGATCAGCTCAAAGTGAGGTCTGAATGGGTTAGGGTGGGCCCTGATCCAGTGACCGGTGGATAGAGACAGAGAATTTGAAGACACAGAGGGAGAGAGGCCAGGCGAAGATGCAGGCAGAGATCCGGGTGAGCATTTGCAACCCAAGGGCGGCTGGCAGGCGCCAGAAGCTGGGAGAGGCCTGGGACGGATTCTCCCCGAGAGCCCTCAGAGGAGGAACCAGGCCTGCCCACACCTGGATTTTGGACTTTGGCCTCCAGACTGTCAGAGAACACACTTCTGTGGTTTTAAGTGACCGGGTGTGTGGTCATTTGTTATGGTAGCCCTAGTGCCCTAAGACAGTACCAACCAGAGAATCGTGATGGTCTAAATGAAAGAGGGGTCCGTGCTCCCCAAAAGCAGCTCTCTCCAGCCAGAGCTTCCAGGCAGGTCTCCCTCCCCACCTGCCAGCTGCCAGGAGGCTGCTGGAGCCTCGGGGAAGATCCAACATCTCTGGGAAATCCTGGGCCAGCCCCACAGGGAAAATGCAGTACTCACCGGGGGACCCTTTGGTCCAGGGAACCCCGTGGGTCCTTGGGGTCCGTTGGGTCCCTGAGGACAGAGAATGGCCAGGATGAGGACAGACATCTTCTCCCCAGCATCTGGGGGGCCCAGCAGCCCTCACCGTTGGCTCTCTGAGCACAGGCACCAGGCACGATTTATCACTGCTCCCCATGACCTTTCCTCTATTTTGTCCAGTCCTTGCCCTCACCGATGTGAAAAGAAGTCCAGTCAGGGGCCGAGGAGGCCAGGTCACAGGGCAAGGTCGCTCGGGGCAGCACGGGCCCAGGACCCAGTTTCCTGACATCTCAGCCACTGTCCCCCCAAACCCCAAGGCAAGGGCCAAGTGGATGGGCTCTCCATCTCCAACCGACAGAAGACTTTACTCCCAGGGAAGGCTACCTCTGACCCCCTTTCCATTTTAGGAAAACCCTCTCCTTCGGCAGTCAAAGGCCAGCCTCCCTCTCCCCGGCCCACTGGGGAAGAAATGCAGGGGGGCTATTTAAGGCAGGCTGCTTTCCTGCAGATGTTCCTAGAGATGTTTCTCGGATGTGTCCACATGCTTACCCGTTCACCCGGAGGGCCGGCCGGGCCATCGCCTCCAGAGTTGCCCTGGGAACGGAGGGAAAAAGGTCAAGAAAAGCTTATTATTATTTCTACTATTTTACTATTTTTGAGCAAAGGCTCTGGGCCATGACATCATCAGAAGTTCAGGGTCACATACTGCATGTGTGCCCTCCTGGAGGTTCACCCCACCGGATTCTCAGTAAAGAGCCAGGCCGTGGCTCCCAAAGGCCACCTGACACTGAGCCGGCATCCCCGGGGCTGTGACATTCCAGGAGAACACTCAGGCCACGCTTCCACCAGGGGGTGCAGCCCAAACTCATGAGAAGATGGGACACAGGCCCCGCCCCAGGGCCCACCCAGCACCGGGCAACAGCTGAGCGTTAAGTCAGCCTCTGGGGAGCGGTGACCGTGGCTCAGAGCTCGTCAGGGAAGGATGTGTGTAGCCCCCGGGCTGGCACATCTGCCCGGCTCTGCACCTCGGCCAGCAGCGGGCCCATCTCCTTCGC